AGGGGAGCACCAGGAAAAAGCCCAACTCAGGCCCTCACCCCTCTGCACACAGGGGGATTCTGGGGGCCCCTCATATGTAACAACATGGCCCAAGGCATTGCGTCCTACAGAAAATACAACGGGAAACCTCCAGGAGTCCAGGTCAGGATCTCGAAGTTTTTGCCCTGGATAGAAAGAACAATGAGGCGTGTCAAACTGCTGAGACCAGACTGAGGCACCCCGGAATTGATCCATCCATTTCTCTGGGGCACAGGCCAATACTGCATTGGGCAGAGAGGGTGGCGGGGACTCGGTCACCTACTTAATAAACTTCCATTTCTTGACTGAAAATTATTGATTCCACCTTTATTCACCAAAATATTTAGTAGTTAGCTTCTGTTGTGTCCGGCATCCATCTGTTCACATCTGATCTCTTATAAGCTTCCTTCCCCCTTCAGTGTAACTCATGTTTCATCTCTACAATACAAAATCATGCTGCATCGATACCAAACTCCTTCCGAATACACCTCCCCAGCGCCAGCTCTCCCTGCCAGGCTGAATATAAGTTCCATCCGTTAAAAGGAGACAACTCCCCAGGAGAAAGTGGCCTCTTCTACACAACCCTCTTATCTCACCCATATTCCTCTCCTACTTCATTCCACACCTGCACAACTACTCCATTAGCAGAACCCAGGGCCAATACACAGCATGAAAGAATCCAGAAACTGAAAGAAGGATGAGCTAAGAAGCTCTGGGGAAAGATGTCATTTCTCCACCACAACAGAAATGGATGGGAAGCTCTTGGAAAGGTTTTTTTCACCCCGTGAAGCACTCCTTTCCCAAATCACAGAGCTTGGAAGCCTGAGAAGTTTCAGGAGGGCCCTTCAGTACACCCAGGCCCAGCTCAAGTGCTTGTCACAGCCCTGTCTTGGGCCCAGAGCTCAGCACTCCCTCTGGTATCCTGAGAGCCCAACCTCCTGCAGCCCAATTTGACCTGAGCTTGCTTGAGCGTGCTCTTCCATCTTGGTCTGGGACAGCCTCTCCTTACCTCCCACTGTGTGTGTGTGTGTGTATGTGTGTACATGTGTGTGTGCGTGTGTGCATGTGTGTGTGTGTGCGTGTGTGTGCGTGTGTGTTTCTCTCCAAAGGAAACTCACTATAATGAAAAGGATTAGTTTCAAGGGTATTTTTCTGTTGTTTCAAAAGTATCCTATAGCATAAAGCCTATTGAGGAAATTTTCTCTTCTATTTTTTAACACTCTCCTGCAAAGTAGTTTGTTCATAGGAAAGCACTTGGCAGAAGATGCGAAGATACAAAAGACAAGTAAAATCTCACTCCAACCAAGGAAAGGACACCTCAGACAAACCACCTGCAGTAGTGAGAGTTGTCCCTGGACCAGCTTCAGAACCAGTTAAAATTCTCAGTGTCCTCCACCCACCCTGCACCTGCCCAGGAGAGGAATGCAGGTTGTGACTCAGAAGTGGCTAGCTGACGGCACACAAAGCTC